AGATGTGTGTAGTTCAGTGTGTGTCTTCATGGAGTTGTGTGTAGTTCAGTGTGTGTCTTCATGGAGTTGTGTGTAGTTCAGTGTGTGTCTTCATGTAGTTGTGTGTAGTTCAGTGTGTGTCTTCATGTAGTTGTGTGTAGTTCAGTGTGTGTCTTCATGGAGTTGTGTGTAGTTCAGTGTGTGTCTTCATGGAGATGTGTGTAGTTCAGTGTGTGTCTTCATGGAGTTGTGTGTAGTTCAGTGTGTGTCTTCATGGAGTTGTGTGTAGTTCAGTGTGTGTCTTCATGTAGTTGTGTGTAGTTCAGTGTGTGTCTTCATGTAGTTGTGTGTAGTTCAGTGTGTGTCTTCATGGAGTTGTGTGTAGTTCAGTGTGTGTCTTCATGGAGTTGTGTGTAGTTCAGTGTGTGTCTTCATGTAGTTGTGTGTAGTTCAGTGTGTGTCTTCATGGAGTTGTGTGTAGTTCAGTGTGTGTCTTCATGGAGTTGTGTGTAGTTCAGTGTGTGTCTTCATGTAGTTGTGTGTAGTTCAGTGTGTCTTCATGTAGTTGTGTGTAGTTCAGTGTGTGTCTTCATGTAGTTGTGTGTAGTTCAGTGTGTGTCTTCATGGAGTTGTGTGTAGTTCAGTGTGTGTCTTCATGGAGTTGTGTGTAGTTCAGTGTGTGTCTTCATGGAGTTGTGTGTAGTTCAGTGTGTGTCTTCATGTAGTTGTGTGTAGTTCAGTGTGTGTCTTCATGGAGTTGTGTGTAGTTCAGTGTGTGTCTTCATGGAGTTGTGTGTAGTTCAGTGTGTGTCTTCATGGAGTTGTGTGTAGTTCAGTGTGTGTCTTCATGTAGTTGTGTGTAGTTCAGTGTGTCTTCATGTAGTTGTGTGTAGTTCAGTGTGTGTCTTCATGGAGTTGTGTGTAGTTCAGTGTGTGTCTTCATGGAGTTGTGTGTAGTTCAGTGTGTGTCTTCATGTAGTTGTGTGTAGTTCAGTGTGTGTCTTCATGTAGTTGTGTGTAGTTCAGTGTGTGTCTTCATGTAGTTGTGTGTAGTTCAGTGTGTGTCTTCATGGAGTTGTGTGTAGTTCAGTGTGTGTCTTCATGTAGTTGTGTGTAGTTCAGTGTGTGTCTTCATGGAGTTGTGTGTAGTTCAGTGTGTGTCTTCATGTAGTTGTGTGTAGTTCAGTGTGTGTCTTCATGGAGTTGTGTGTAGTTCAGTGTGTGTCTTCATGTAGTTGTGTGTAGTTCAGTGTGTGTCTTCATGTAGCTGTGTGTAGTTCAGTGTGTGTCTTCATGGAGTTGTGTGTAGTTCAGTGTGTGTCTTCATGGAGTTGTGTGTAGTTCAGTGTGTGTCTTCATGTAGTTGTGTGTAGTTCAGTGTGTGTCTTCTTGTAGTTTTGTGTAGTTCAGTGTGTCTTCATGTAGTTGTGTGTAGTTCAGTGTGTGTCTTCATGTAGTTGTGTGTAGTTCAGTGTGTGTCTTCATGTAGTTGTGTGTAGTTCAGTGTGTGTCTTCATGTAGTTGTGTGTAGTTCAGTGTGTGTCTTCATGTAGTTGTGTGTAGTTCAGTGTGTCTTCATGTAGTTGTGTGTAGTTCAGTGTGTGTCTTCATGTAGTTGTGTGTAGTTCAGTGTGTGTCTTCATGGAGATGTGTGTAGTTCAGTGTGTGTCTTCATGTAGTTGTGTGTAGTTCAGTGTGTGTCTTCATGTAGTTGTGTGTAGTTCAGTGTGTGTCTTCATGGAGTTGTGTGTAGTTCAGTGTGTGTCTTCATGTAGTTGTGTGTAGTTCAGTGTGTCTTCATGTAGTTGTGTGTAGTTCAGTGTGTGTCTTCATGGAGTTGTGTGTAGTTCAGTGTGTGTCTTCATGTAGTTGTGTGTAGTTCAGTGTGTGTCTTCATGTAGTTGTGTGTAGTTCAGTGTGTGTCTTCATGGAGTTGTGTGTAGTTCAGTGTGTGTCTTCATGTAGTTGTGTGTAGTTCAGTGTGTGTCTTCATGGAGTTGTGTGTAGTTCAGTGTGTGTCTTCATGTAGCTGTGTGTAGTTCAGTGTGTGTCTTCATGGAGTTGTGTGTAGTTCAGTGTGTGTCTTCATGGAGTTGTGTGTAGTTCAGTGTGTGTCTTCATGTAGCTGTGTGTAGTTCAGTGTGTGTCTTCATGGAGTTGTGTGTAGTTCAGTGTGTGTCTTCATGGAGTTGTGTGTAGTTCAGTGTGTGTCTTCATGGAGTTGTGTGTAGTTCAGTGTGTGTCTTCATGGAGTTGTGTGTAGTTCAGTGTGTGTCTTCATGGAGTTGTGTTTAGTTCAGTGTGTGTCTTCATGGAGTTGTGTGTAGTTCAGTGTGTGTCTTCATGTAGCTGTGTGTAGTTCAGTGTGTGTCTTCATGGAGTTGTGTGTAGTTCAGTGTGTGTCTTCATGGAGTTGTGTGTAGTTCAGTGTGTGTCTTCATGGAGTTGTGTGTAGTTCAGTGTGTCTTCATGTAGTTGTGTGTAGTTCAGTGTGTGTCTTCATGGAGATGTGTGTAGTTCAGTGTGTGTCTTAATGTAGTTGTGTGTAGTTCATTGTGTGTCTTCATGTAGTTGTGTGTAGTTCAGTGTGTGTCTTCATGGAGTTGTGTGTAGTTCTGTGTGTGTTCATGTAGTTGTGTGTAGTTCAGTGTGTGTCTTGAAGTAGTTCAATGTGTTTGTGATACTCGGGTCTGGACTTGTCCCCGACCTGCTCTCTGGCTCTCTGTTGGTGATGTAACAGTAACACAGACTTTAATCTCATTACAGACTGATTAGTGTTCTCATTCAGCCGAGGGAAATGTTCCTCCACGCTCGATGTTTGTTGGACTTAACGCTCTGAACGTTGCTCGTTATATTTACCTGAAGAAGTCAGACCGAGAGCGTTGTGAGGACGTTGTTGTTGTTGAGGACGTTGTTGTTGTTGAGGTGGACTCAACCTTCATCTTTTATCCTCACACAGTGTTAGGAGAATAAAAGATGATTTACTTTAGGTGCACAAGCTGTAAAAAAAAACTAATTTCCACCATGGCGCCCTTCATCGTCTCTTTGGAGACGACACTGAGACTACGTCCATGTTTTCTACAGACTACAGTTTAAATCATCTTAATCACAGTAATCTAAATGAATTCTTCACACAGTGAGTTGATGGACTTCATTCAATTTCACCACAAACTTCTCGCTGCTGTGACAGACACGACTTGCTGATCCAGTAGATGGCGCCAGCATGAAACCAAAACAAACTGATGTTTGGACACGCCTCCTCAACACTGAAGCCTCCGCTCTGATGCAGCGACACCCCTCAAACCCCCCTCCTCCCCCAGCGTTCACACGAAGGAGTTAGCGGCGCAGTTAAGCGCAAGCGGTGGACAAAACTGTCCTTGGCTGGAGCTGCATTGTTGCGTTCGTTTCATAAGTTCACGAGTCTAAACTTCACTGTTCATGAGAACGAGCTCGCAGTAATCATTATTAATGAAGACAGCAAAGTGCTGTCAGCGTTAACGCCCTTAATCCTGATGCCAAGTAGAGAGACAGCTCTCTCCAATGTTTAGAATTTAGACTGCAGTACCCATTTTAAACACTAGGGGTCAGAGTTACATATCGCTCCTTTAAAGGTATTGCTCCTGAAAGTTCCTTAATTTATTTCAAAACAAAAGCATATTTGTATCCACACAGGTAGTATAGTTCCCATAGCTTAAGACAGTACAATATTTCAAAATAAAAAGCACGCACATGCACGGACACACACAGCGTCTTCTTCTCTGTTCAAACTCTCAGACGATGTTTCATATTTTTTGGACTCCGTCTGTGTTAAGAGTGAGAATCAGTCGCCTGCTCCAACCTCTGCCTGACCCTGTGACCTCACAAACTGAGGATTATGGGAGGTTAGCAAGTCACATACGTGTGATGACTTCAAACTCAGTTGTTAAAAGACAAACACACACAGCCAGGCTGACCTCTGACCCCCAGAGACGCTGACAGGTTGTCGAATGTTTGAACTCTAAAGTGATGGATGTCTTAAGACGAGGCCGTGAGCCGTTCTTTGATAAATGTTTGAGATGTCTTCTTTGTCTCACCTGCAGCTCGTTCACGGTCTGACAGATTCAGCATCACATTGATACTAAAGTGAAGCTGCTCCATCAGCCCTTCAAAATAAAATACAGACTTCTCCTAAAATGAAGCTGCTCCATCGTCCCTTCTGGGCCTCCGTACATGTGTGGTGGTGACTGTGTCTGCAGAGACTTTGTCCTCTGACTGGATTTTACTGAGGAGAAATACCAAGTGGATAAAGCTCGTTCTAAAACGAGGGTGAACCTTGTGTTGTGTTTTACCCGTGGACGTGGAGTTGGTCTGCTTCCTGTTGGACAGGCAGGGAGTGTCGGCGATATGAACTTAGTTTATTTTTTTTATTTGTAATGACTTTTGAGTAGTTCTAGTGTTTCCTGTTTTATTTTGTCTTCACCTTCCCTTGGATGTTTGGTGCTGGCTTCATTTCCCAGGCCCTGATGAACACATCACGCTGACTCAGGGTCACAGACATAATAGGAAAACATTTCTGTGGAGGGATTTTTATGTGATTATAGTTGATTTCGCTGTTATGAGCTGATCCTCCTGCTGTTACTTAAACAGAGCGAGCAACAGCCTCATAAGCAGATTTACGCGGATGGATTTAGGCTTTGGTATGTGATTCGTCCTCTCTCCTAACTTGTTACTGACGGAGCAGACCGAGGAGCCGGCTGGAAACTGACCCGCACAATGACACTGGAGTTTTACAGCAGCTTGTCTGTGCAGTTGGTGTTAGAGACAAGAGAAACACGCTCGGATCAGGCGAATAACGCGCGATCTGTTACAGAGAACCGCGCGGATTTGAGTCTGGAGCTCGGAGCGCACGGAGCTCTCAGCTGATTCTCCTCAGGGGGAAACCACCACAAACTCCACCTGTGCCCTCCTGTTGACCTCGGAGCTGCAGGACTCGGCTCATAGATGAAACCTGCCCCGGAGAGAGGCGTCAGTGTGCGGCGAACATGTCGGAGATCTCCGCTGACGCGCAGAACCGCAGTGTGCCTGCAGCTGCGCTCTCTCACAACTTCCCCGCGCTCATATTCGGGATTTTACTGATCGTGATCGTGATCTGTGGGAACGTGCTGGTGTGTATCAGCGTGTATATGGAGAAAGCTTTAAAAACCACTACAAACTACTTCATCGTCAGTTTGGCGTTCGCAGACCTGCTGCTGGCGGTGCTCGTCCTGCCGCTGTTCGTTTACGCGGAGGTAAGAAGCGAAGTACAGGAGCCCGCAGGGGTCAGGGACTGATCCTGTCAAGGGCCAGGGGCGTCAGGGACAGAGTCTGTCAGGGGCCAGGGGAGGGTGAGGGACAGAGTCTGTCAGGGAGCCCTGGAGGATCCATTGCTCTGTTTCAGTGTTTCAGTATTTATTCGGTTCTTCCAGTTCTGTGTCACAGTGACAGAGTTTGTGTTGATATATATTAAAGTATGAAAGGTTTGTGGATCTGGTTGTACAATAGGAAGTGTTCACAGTTAAAAACAGCTGTAATATGAATATCATCAGTTTATCAGAGCTGAATTGCTCCGATCACCATGCAGCACAAACACACGAGATCCTGCAAAAGGAAAGCTTCAACACCTTCAGGCAGGATGTTTTTATGATGACATGTTTAAAGATCAATATCTGACATGTATTAACGTCAGGTCTCAACATATAACCTGCAGACTGACGTTCAGCTGCAGGTTTTTATCTTTTAAAAAGACCACACAAGAAAATCCACTATCAAGACCTGCACAGCCAAATTAAGGACTAGGAGCAAAACCACTAGAATGAAACAAATACTGTCTAAGATACACAAACAGCTTCAAAGACACAAAGAGTGACTGAACTTTGGTGACCATACTTTCAAACCTCCAAATCAGGACTCTTTAATTTGACCACAAACCCACATGTATGGATCCACAGATTGTTGACCTCTGGTCACTCGAGGTGGTTGGTAAAGGTTTCCTCCTGAGCAGCTCCTTAAAGTTGGTTGTCAGGGGCGTTTGCTTCAATGAAGTAACAGTTCTACTTGCTGTCTGTACCCACAGTTTGTGTTCGCTCGTTTTTATACGGCTTTGTTTGACAGCATGTCCACCGTGGGACACTTGCATTGTGTGCCAAATGCAGCATATTCATTGGCTGCTACTTTTCACAGGAAGCTGTAACTCTCCTGGAACAATGGGTTTTTTTGAATCGGTGTGTATGTGACTTCCTGTGCTTCTGCAGCCAGCCTCTAGTGGACTCTCGAGGAACTGCAGGATGTTTCACTTCAGCATCGGCTTCATTTTTCAACACCACACTTTTGCTCACCTGCCAGAACTACAACAGAGAACACAGAAATAACGCAAACATACGCAAAAATAATCCAAAACGGGCTCTGACAGATGTGTTATTGTGTAGAGCCAGAGACACTGCAGACAATGGTTAACACATCACCACTTTGACAGGACACTGAAAGCGTCTCTGAATACAGATCTCTTGGTGTCTGGTTGGATCACACAATCTCTGGTTTTCTCTCCAGAAACAGAACAAACTTTGCGCTGCTCATCAGAAAACAAGTCACTGAGGTCGTTGTTTTATTAGACTGACGTCTGTAGGAACGCCTCAGCCTCCACACTCGCTCCCCTGAACGCCATCTATCACTCTGCTGACAGTTACTCCACACATCATCGCATTTTATATGAAAAGGTAGACCGGACCCCTCTAACTGAGACGTGACGGGCCATGGTTTTAATGAAGTTGTGAAGCCATATATCACGTCTGAGTGAAACTGGTCTCAAGCAAACACTTAAGAAGCTTCAGATATGTCGCGTAGGGCGCAGAGCATGCACACGGCCAACACCTTAAGGTGCTAGGGGACCCAAACAACAGTCAGGAAAGTAGCTTCTGCTACAGCACCTGTTTGTATCCGTCCACTCTTCAGTAGAAAGCTCTGACCTTTCTTCTGCTGAGGAGGAGGAGACAAGGAGCACAGAAGAAGAAAGGGGCCTTCAGTAACACAACATTTCTGCTGCTGTTTGAAACAGTTGTTTTGAAACCTGGAATGCCCAAACTGCACACATTTGTTCCTGTAGGTTCATCTAAGGACGTTTTTCACACCTAACCTGTTTGATCTGTTTATCACCTTGACACTCCTATCATCTATCATCATCATCAGGAAAGATAAAGCCCCCTCCTCATATAAGATCAAAACTGGTTAACGTTCATTAGGATTACTTTATGTCACAGGGGCTCATTCTGCTGATCAGGAGAGGTGTGCTTCATAAATCAGATTATGTCCCGGCTGCAGAAGGTTTAAAGGTGTAATCTGGTAGCCGGCCGCTCGATTATCTGTCGCCTTCAATACGTCATCAGGTCAGAGGAGCCCTGCGGGGGATACCCTGATAGGATAGTCCTGAGAGAGAGAGAGAGAGAGAGAGAAAAAGAGAGAGAGAGCAGTGTTTGTCTAAAATGCACAAAAACATTGGCATTGGCATTGTTTTTGTGTAGTTCATACAGTGCTCTCTCTCTCTCTCTCTCTCTCTCTCTCTCTCTCTCTCTCTCTCTGGTCGATAAACAATTCTAAGTCCTCTAATTGTCGCATTTCAGAGAGAGTTTCTCAGGAGGAATGTTTGTCTGCACGCTGACCTGCTGTGGTGCAAACCAAAGAGGATTACACCTGTTTACTCTGAGATATGGGCCAGCTAATGTGTGTGTGTGTGTGTGTGTGTGTGTGTGTGTGTGTTTAGTTTCAGGGTGGAGTTTGGTCCTTGAACATGCTGCTGTGTGACGGTCTGATGACCATGGATGTGATGCTGTGCACGGCCTCCATATTCAACCTCTGTGCAATCAGCGTGGACAGGTGAGTGTGTGTGTGTCACCCCTGTTAATCAAATCCTAAAAATCTACAAACAGTCACAATATAAGGTTCTGTTTTACAAGACGAGGAAAACCGTAACTTCTTGTTGCCTTTAGGCTGTTCGTTGACACAACAACAGAGTTTTTGGCTGAAAATGAAAACTTTTGATCACAGCGCCGTCTCCGGTGTTGTGCAGTCGTAAGACCAGCTAATAAGACCAGCTAATGAGTTAGCATTTTAGTACTTCCGGTTCCATCATCTCATAGTCTATGGTTCTGTGGTCAACACAAGACTAAGAGGTTTTCATTTTTTCTACGACATAAAAAACATCTGGACGTGCCCCACATGTGAATTTTGAAGATTTTTCACGTCTAACTTAAGGCGGCCTATCCATCTGTAGGCATCATAGCCTACATCGGGCTAAAATCGGGCTAAAATCGGGCTAACATCTGGCTAACATCTGGCTAACATCGGGCTAACATCGGGCTAACATCGGGCTAACATCAGGCTAAAATCGGGCTAACATCGGGCTAACATCGGGCTAACATCTGGCTAACATCGGGCTAACATCGGGCTAACATCGGGCTAACATCAGGCTAAAATCGGGCTAACATCGGGCTAACATCGGGCTAACTCGGGCCTACATTCAATTCAATTCAATTCAGTTTTTATTTGTATAGCGTCAACTCATAACAAGTGTTGTCTCAAGACACTTTACAAAAGAGCAGGTAAAAAGAATTTACTTATTACTATGTTACAAAGAGCCGGCCTATCCATCTATAGGCATCATAGCCTACATCGAGCTAACATTGGGCTAACATTGGGCTAACATTGGGCTATCATCGGGCCAACATCCGGCTAACATCGGGCTAACATTGGGCTATCATCGGCTAACATCGGGCTAACATTGGGCTATCATCGGGCCAACATCCGGCTAACATCGGGCTAACATTGGGCTAACATCGGGCTTACATCAGGCTAACATCGGCTAACATCGAGCTAACATCGGGCTAGCATCGGGCCAACATCGGGCTAACATCGAGCTAACATTGGGCTAGCATCGGGCCAACATCCGGCTAACATTGGGCTAACATTGGGCTAACATCGGGCCAACGTCAGGCTAACATCGGCTAACATCGAGCTAACATCAGGCTAGCATCGGGCTAACATCGGCTAACATCGAGCTAACATCAGGTTAGCATCGGGCCAACATCGGGCTAACTAGAGGTTGCCATGAACATTAAACGTCATCACACCAGACGTAGAAACTTGTCTCCTGGCTTGAAGCTTCGTGTGGAGTGGAGCTTCAAAATATCTTTTAAACTTCCAAACATTTTGCTCTGTAGCCCAAAGTTTTCACTTAACACGTAATATCGCCTTCAAATGAAGAAACGTTTGTGTGTGTCACTCACAGTAAACACTGAAGCTAAATGAATTTACAGTTCAGACACAGAGTGCGTCATAGCAACGGGAGAGCTGAGGGGCTGCCGATCTCAGGCGAGGGTTGTTCCCGGCCTTTCAGAAGTTCAACTCTTAACCGTCCTGTCTGTCACCCTGCAGGTTCATCGCTGTGTCCATCCCTCTAAACTACAACCGTAGACACGTAGACCACCGACAGATCGTCCTGCTGTCGGCGACCTGGCTGCTGTCTCTCGCTGTGGCCTCGCCTGTCGTCTTCGGGATCAACAACGTCCCCGACCGTGACCCCACAGAGTGCAAACTGGAGGACAACAACTACGTGGTTTACTCTTCCGTCTGCTCCTTCTTCATCCCTGCCCCATCATGCTCCTCCTTTACCTCGGGGTGTTGCGCGGTCTGCAGCGCTGGGAGGAGGCTCGGAAGCTCAAACTACGCAGCAGCATCGAGGCCTGCAGGAAGCTGCAGCACGCAGCCATCGCAACCGTCTTTCCCCCGCTGACGGGCACCATCCCCGGGCCGCTGCCGATGCCTCTGCCCCGGATCATCGAGAGGGACCTGGCTCAGTGTCGGCTGGACGACACAGACGACTTCATGCAGCAGGAGATCCCGTATCCCCGACAGTACAGAGAGAACTCTGTTCCCACGTTGACGCTGAGCGAACAGCTGACCCGGCAGAAGAGAGCCAAGATCAACAACCGAGAGAGGAAGGCCATGAGGGTGCTTCCTGTCGTCGTGGGTGAGTCTTAAAGTTCTCCTCCAATCAGAGCGCCACAACAAACAGCTCCATCTTCAGTTTAAAGACTTATCTACAGACACCGTGTCCCCGAGCAGTCAGGCAGGTCGAGAGTTTCTGGAGAACTTTACAACAAAAGAAGAGAACATTTTGTTCATGGATTTATTTGTTTCTCTTCCTTGTTTGGTTGAAATGTGAGCTCGCCTTCCAGAATGGATCCACTGACTCATATTGAGCCACTAAGGGGGCGGCAGTAGCTCAGTTCGTAGGGACTCAAGTTACGATGCGGACCATAATAAGGAAGTTGGTCTGGTAGCTGGAGAGGTTCCAGGGCACTTCTGGAGTACTGCAGAGGTGCCCTTGAGCAAGGCAAAAAAACAACAACTCTGCTCTGGTGCGCTCCCTGTGTAGCAGCCTCACTCCGACATCTCTCCACTAACACATGTCCACAGGTCCTGTGTGTGTGAGAAGCATGTCCCTAAAATAACAAAGTGTAAAACCAGAATTTCCCCTCAGGGATTAATAAAGTATATAAAATGAACATGAAAGAGGGCCAGAGCAGTTGAGGGTCCGGTGCCTTGCACAAGGTCACCTCATCAGTGCTCGGGAAGTGAACTCGCACCTCTCCAGCTACCAGACCAACTTCCACACTTGTCCTCACCGGGACTTGACCTAATGACCCTCATGTACTCACCAAAGTGTCTTGTGTTTGATACCAATTAATCAAAGCAGCTCACATTATAAGCAAACTTCTCGCTCAGATTTTAAGTGTCTGCAGCATCAGAACTCTCTGAATCTAAATCGGTCCCCTGACGTCTTCTTCTACATGTTCACAGATAACAGGAGGTGTTTAAATATAACCACACGCTGGTTTGAACAGTGAGGGTGTTGTCTCTGCAGCGTTGTAGGCGAGCTGGGTGTGAGGCGTCTGGCGTTCATGCGGGTCGACCTGAGCGTCGGGATCGAAGCGTCACCTCTGTGACCGGCTGTCTCTCAACAAACAGCACGATGTTAGCTTAAAGCTCTCAATCCAATTATTATTTAGCACCTGTTCTCACAGCCACACCGTCTGAGCGGCTGAAATCTGCCCTGAATCGTCTGAATCGTCCATTGATGTGACAACAATGCAGCAGCCAGTATGTCCTCCTTCTAACTTTAGATTCTGGTCCTGAATGCTCTGGATTTGTTTGGACCAGAGAAGGTAGACGGTTTTAAGGCACCCCTCGGTTTGCCAGATATGAGAGCAGTTATCAGGTCAAACCAACAGGTGTTGCAGCGATGGAAGCGGGCAAGAGAAGTGGTTCAGATAGAAGTGATTGTACCCGACCTAAAAAGCCTCTGCATGTTTCTAATAAGCTCCACGAGCAGAAACGTGCTCAAACTAGGATCAATATTGGAGATGCTTTTGAAAAATGGAGAGAGGTTAGAACACAGAAAGGTTTACAGACCGATGCAGAGCTGGATAAACACTGAAGCTTCAGTGTCCACCACATGGTGACCTGAGTGAGCATCGACTCTAGAGAGGAGGGGGGACAGCTCTCTACAATGTTTAGAATTAAGACTGCAGTACCCATTTTAAACACTAGGGGTCAGAGTCACATACTGCTCCTTTAATGATGACTTGAAAAGAATGAGACTCGTTAAGAAATGAGGGAATCAATCGACTGAGAAGAAGAACCATTTAGTCTAACAGGGGGCTGAAAAATGAAGCATTTAAGCAGTTTTGCATTCTTCATTTCTCATATCAGTCTTTAAAGAACCTTCGATTAAATCAAGTGGATTTTAATTTGTCCTTTTTTCTGCTTTTGTGGCTAAAACTCTGGTGAACATCCTGTAACGGATCAGAGCGACTCTCCAGCAGACGCTTTATTATCCCAGCTGACCTGAATGCATCTAATGAATAGGAAGTGTGCACGGCGTCCTCGTCTCCGATGAAGGAATCTCGCCTTCTTACCGAGAGTTATGACTTCAGCTCCAACAAACGGGTCAGAAATGTCATCAGAGGAGAGGCTGGAAATCGAGCCTCCGTCGCCCTCCTTCACATGTTGAAGCCCTGGAGTGGAGAGGTCGGAGTTATATGATGAGACGCCGTTGTCTCCATCGTTAACGAGCTCCGTGTGGTCGTGACTCATTTAGAGGCGGGCAGTCAGGTCACAGTGAAACACGGTTGACGGGGTTTGTTAGAATAACCTCCTGGGGAGAGTTTTAGTTTTCTGTCTGCACAAACAGATTTAAACTACAGAAATAAATGTATCCTTTCCAAAGAGTGGAGCATCTACGGTGGCCCAGAAGGTCAACTTTATGTTTCATTCGACCACTAAATATCTCATCAATCAAAAACACCCCGGAGACGTTAGATTTTGTTGATTTTCATTCACCACATTTCCACCGCCTTCATGTTGTCGTTCTGTTTGTTTAGTGATTGAATGACACACTGACATTTTAAAGGTGTGTCCTGTGTGAAGGGCCTTTCTGATTGGATGGGGTGTGCACTGCGCTTGATAGTTCATGTTCTGCTGCTTTCATTTTGAGTTATGAAATTTGTGATGTGATGTTAAATATCCTCTATCGGGGTTTTCTTACATTTCTGTCATGACTCAAATCCATCTCTCTCTTGCTGTTTCCTGCAGGTTGCTTCCTGTTCTGCTGGACGCCGTTCTTCGTGGTTCACACGACTCGAGCCATGTGTCTGACCTGCGACATCCCGCACGGCCTGATGAGCACCGTCACCTGGCTCGGCTACGTCAACAGCGCCCTCAACCCCATCATCTACACCATGTTCAACACCGAGTTCAGGAAGTTCTTCAAGAGATGTTTCCGCAGCTGCTGTTGACGCCGGTTCTCCCCGAGCGAGGTGTGAGGTCTCCCTCAGCTCGTCTCTGAGCTGCAGAGCGACGTCCTGCAGACTTAAAGACAACGTGTTTAAAGACACTCGGGCTGATAAGGGCGGCAGACACTGTGGATATTCGAGGCTCTGTTTGGAGTTAACTGTGTGTCAGCGGGAGTTCCAGCACCAGTCGTCAGGTTTTCTGTGCAGAACGAGTGATTTAAACAGAACCTGCAGGATCCGCTCAGAACGAAAACCGTCTCATGGATGCAGAAAACTGACGGCGCTTCAACAGAGCGGAAAGTCGAGCGAGCTTCAGGAACAAACCGATCTACAGATCTACAATCTTTCTGCTGTCAGTCAGACAAAAAGTGTGATGAATGATCAAGTCTGTACGTATGAAGCTACAGTAAGCAGCAAGTTAGCGTAGCTTAGCACAATGACTGTGAACAGGTGGAAACAGCTACCCTGGTTCTGTCCTGAGGTGATGAACATGACTAAATGGTGAAACCTGATATCTGCAGCTCCTCAGTAAGAATGCAACGATTTGTTGTCAAAAATAAATGGCTACTCGGTAATCGCTGATGATTGGTTGTTTGATGATGTGTTTTCCCGTTACGTGACATTTTCTGGAGCCTAAATTGCAGAGGAGTGAGCCATCTTGCATCTCTGCTCAGAGTTACGTATTTCAAACAGCGACAGGTAAATTAAACATTACAAAATGACGGCAGCTGATGCAACACCCTCGCTGGAGCATTTCCTCCCTCAACACTGCAAAGGAAAGTGTCACACTTCCTGCTCCAGCGTCTCGACTGCAGTCAGAAAGCCGAGCGGAGACGTACTGGTCCTCCACCTGTCAGCGCTCACATTCCTCCTCCATCATCTGTGAGAACATTCGCACCGAGGAGTGATCTGCCTTAAACAGAATAACCTGAAAGATCTCACGCTGAGTTCACGAGATCCATTTAAAATCTTTTTATCTTGTTAAGAATGTATTTTTTTGTTACGTTTTTTTAGACCTTTTTCTGTCCTCTCTGTGATTTTAAACTTGATGTCAGAACTTTGTGAACTCTCAGCACCAATAAACCTTCAACAAGTTCAGACTTCTGCTCCTCATCATTCACTCTACTGAGACCAAAAACCAACGTTTGATCAGGATTTTATTTTTGTGAACCAGAGGCAGAGTCAGTAGAAATGTTTATAAACAGATTCAGACTGGGCCCCTCCTCCTGGGCTCATCGCCCCCAGAAGCCCCGCCCACTGCAGGACGTAGTGTGTACGTTTCCTGCTTGTACCTACACTTGCAAGCTAACGCACGCTAGTAAGCTAACCGCTGTTGTTTGTCTCCTGCCTGAAACTTCAGAACCTAAATCAAAGTAAATACTTACAGACGGTCAGATCTGCAACTAAGATCCTACAAAATGTTTTCAATATTTTATTTAACCTGCAGGAGTATAACCAAACGTTTGAAACACAGCAGATACACAACCGCAAGACCCTGCAACAAAGTGAACACAGCATTGTGTGTGACCCCAGCCAATCCGTCACCCGTGCCATCTGGGTTACGGTATGCGAGCCTCCGACTCTACCAGCTGATCCACGGCCGCCCCCTTTACACTAATCTCACTTTATGACTGTTCCCCCCTCATCAGCAACACAGAAGCATTAACTTTAAAAATACACCGAGCGCTTTCTCTAAGTTAGTGCCTTATGTTTATTTATATTTATATATCATGTTTTTATGGAGTTCAAAGTTAGAGACAATCATCCAAATAGAGAACTGAGGCTTCAGGCCTCTGGCTCCCCCTGCTGGTTAAAAAACTACATTTAGTTTAGAGGCATCAGTTCGAGCAGCTGTCTCTTTAAAGAAAAGGCTTTGCATGTTTTTAGACTAACCCCCATGAAACACTCTGACAGAGTCTGTATGCAGTAATTCCTATTTATAATAAATCCGCCTGTTGACCCTTCTTCATTCATAAAAACGCAGCAGGGAGCTGTACTTTGTGGTTTATGTCCGTCCTGCTGCCTTTGATCGGAGGTTTGAAAACGAGCAGAGTTTACGTCCTCAGTGATCAGTGACGGAGGAACATGTTCACAAAGTCCACCAGTCCGCCTCTCAGCATTGATTATTGCAGTGAATGAAGTCGGGGCTCCAGGCTGACGCAGAGATTCAGTCACTCTTCTGGTTTCGTTGCATCCTGCAGAGAAAAGTGAACACAACAACACGAGTGACAAAGACGTCCTGTCTGTGAGAATCAGCGAACAGGAAGTCGTACACCTGAGAGATAAACCCACACACTCACAGTCTGAGCTCCGGCGGCCATCAGAGCCTCGATCTCCTGACTCCACCCGAGGGCGTCCACCAGAGCCTGGACACCACTGACGACGTCACCCAGCTCAACGACGTCCTGAGGCCGCCCCCGCCACGCAAACGGACCCACCAGGTCCCTGTTGATGAGCAGGCGGGGGACGGAGCTCCGCACCGCTCCCGCTAGACTGGCAAAGGGCTCCACCTGCGGGACGGAGAGAGAACAGCAGCATGTTAAGCAAGCTGCAACCTCCCGTGATGAAAAAGAAGCCGATGCAGAAGTGTAAAATCCTGCAGTTCCTCGAGTGACCACTAGAGGCTGGCTGCAGAAGCACAGGAAGTCACATACACACCCATTCTAAAAAGTAGGATTTTTCTTGCTGTGATTTTGTTTCATTTTAACTTGAATCATATCGAAGTTTTAACGTCTTGGATCGCGACGACGCTTGGTAATAGACTGAGCCTGTCCCTTTAAGTAAGGTGGCTTATGGGTAATGTAGGCTATGAGAAGTTGTGGTTGATGCCCCTTTACAGTTCGAGAGTGAACAGACATACTCCGTCTCTCCTCCTTCTTTGAATGCTGAATTTACCCAGAATGCTTGTCACCAGCCAAGCAGGCGTCCTACGGTTTGGGTAATGCCCTGAGGGGAACAGACAGGTGTGACTACAGGTGTGACTACAGGTGTGACTACAGGTGTGTTCGATCCTGCCGTCTCTCACCTCCAGTGACGTTCCCATGACGATGAGCAGGTCTGCCAGGGGAAAGTCCGTCAGGTGTTTAAAAAAGTGAGTAGGAAGCTCCTCCCCGAAGAACACGATGTCAGGCTTCAGCACACCTGTACAGGTGGGACACCTCGGGACCGTCCCGCTCATCACATCTGGCTGACGAGACACGGAAACAAGAAGTAAACAAATAACTTTTTTTTAATTCAAGGTATACTTTATGAAATATAACAAAACCAGGTCGACAGTGTTGTTCGATACCCGTTTGTTACTATGGCAACAAAAAGAGAAAAGCAGCTGAATGATTATGGACACGAGAAGAACAGCGAGCAGATCCGTGTCAGAGCGGTTTGTAATAACCCGGCGTAGGTCGAGAGTCGTGATGAAGTCTTATGACTGCAAAGCAATGCACGATGTTGTTTCCTGTTTTTATCTGTGAAGCTTCCTGTTCTAACATTTGTCTGTTTGTCTGGAGGACGGCGTCTCGCCGTTTGTACTGTCGATCTGCTCCACGTGTGGCGTTACTGAATGTGTTGTCACTCACTCGTAGCTCCTCCCCCTCGTATTTCCTCCTGCAGACGGTGCAGGTCGCCGTGGAAAACGTCCCATGAGCCTCCACCAACATCTCCGGAGGAATCCCTGACACTTCACACACACACACACACACACGCACACACGCGCACACGCGCACACGCGCACACACGCACACACGCACACACGCACACACGCACACACGCACACACGCACACACGCACACACACACACACAGACAGACACACACACACACACAAACACATAGACAGACACACGAACGCACACGCGCACAGACACAGACACACACACACACACACACACACAAACACAAACACACACATGCAAACACACACACACACACACACACACACATGCAAACACACAAACACACACTCTCACACACACACACACACACACACACACACACACAGACAGACACACGAACGCACACACACACAGACACAGACACACACACACACAAACACACACACACACACACATGCAAACACACACACACACACACACGCACACGCACACGCACACGCGCGCACGCACACACACACACACACACACACACACACACACACACACACACACACACACACACACACACACACACACACACACACACACACACACACACACACACACACACACACACACACACACACACACACACACACACACACACACACAAACACACACACACAAACACAGTCAGACACACACACACACACACACACAGTGAGTGAACAATCAGGGCAGATTGAAACGACTTCCTTCATCCTGTCAGACACACAGAGAGATGAACACGTACGTCTCTCCAGGCCGTCGATGTTCTGCGTGTACATCCTGACCAGCTGACCTTTCTCGTGAAGCAGACGCACAAAGTAATGCGTCAGGTTGGGACGATAGTTTCCGGGGTACAGCTCTTTGGCCAGAGCGAAGAACGGTTTGGGGTTGTGATGGAAGAAGTTGATCTCAAAGATGGCCTCCGCGTACGGCAGGTCGTACTGCTGCAGGTTGTCATAGAGACCGCTGCCTGGAGACCTGAGAGGAGATACACCTGATCAAGGCTTCCTACGGTGGCCCTGAGGGTCAACTGAGCACAAAACACATCACACTAATTACCAAAATATTTAATGTAAAGCAAAAACCTGTTGTCCTTCAGGGCCACTGTATTTTCTATACCAACGGGGGGTCACAAACATGTGCAAGGTAAAAAAAAAAAAAACAATTACGTCAAAAAGTTTTTAAACACGTTTGTTTTGTTTCACGTTTAGAATCATCTGGGGTCCAAACTGCATCTGCAACTACATCTTTCACTAAACTCTGACCCCTAGTGGTTAAAATGGGTACTTCAGTCCAGATTCTAAACATTGTAGAGAGCTGTCTCCCCCCCTCCTCTCTAGAGTCGATGCTCACAAAGGTCACCATGTGGTGGACACTGAAGCTTCAGTGTTTATCCAGCTCTGCATGGGTCTGTAAACCTTTCTGTGTTCTAACCTCTCTCCATTTTTCAAAAGCATCTCCAATATTGATCCTAGTTTGAGCATGTTTCTGCTCGTGGAGCTTATTAGAAACATGCAGAGGCTTTATAGGTCGGGTACAATCACTTCTATCTGAACCACTTCTCTTGCCCGCTTCCATCGCTGCAACACCTGTTGACCTGATAACTGCTCTCATATCTGGCAAACTGAGGGGCGTCCAAAACGGCCATGTGGGGGTGCCTTAAAACCGCCTACCTTCTCTGGTCCAAACAAATCCAGAGCATTCAGGACCAGAATCTAAAGTTAGAAGGAGGACATACTGGCTGCTGCATTGTTGTCAGAGAAGCCAGCACTTCATCATGTTTCCTTAATGTCTGATCAGATAGTAAGGTCACGTTATCATTTCACTCACTATCTCACTGATTGGTCGTTTAGATGGATCTGTGGCATCGAGCGAGTGTCGATTGTTTCATTTTTAATAGAATGGTGTCAAAGTTTAAATTCTGGTATCTCGTCTGATATTTACAAAACTTGAAACAACGTTGAACCTGAAATCTGGGATGCCGCTGGGCGTGCTGATCCCGGCTCCGGCCATCACCACGACCCTCCCGTACCGCCGCTCTCTGATGCCGTGAGCGACGTCCTGCAGGGTCTGCTGCTCGCCGTCTGCACCCCCACCCCGAGAGAAAAGCCCCCGAGTCCCGTCACAGGAGGCAGGGTGTGTGTGTCTGCGGGGAAGAAGAGCAGCGACATGTTCGTCTGCACCCAGATGACGGATCACGCTGGAGCAACATGTGATGAAACATCTGCAAGCGCGCTGACGGAGAAGGAGCACTTTTTATAATCCATGTGATTTATTCTGCAGCGATGGGATGTCAAAAGAGCAGGTTTCAAACTTCTCACACGTGACAATTAGATGTTTTCATGCAGGTTGAACGAAAACACAAGTCGTCTGAAGAAATGACCTTGGGCCTTTTGGATTGTGTGAAGAATCTTTACGCGACAGTTTCGCAGCAACGAATTCATACATCTTTGTTATTTCAGGCTCTAAACTGTGACACTTCATATCTTTAAATAAACATAATATATTTAGTTTTTAAACTTATGGTCTGACATAAAAAGGCAAGAATCACTACCTGGGGCTCAAAGAAATCTAAACATTTGAATAGTCAGTGTCAGTGATTATTGGATCAGGTGATTACGAGAATCAGTTTCGGTGCTGCTGATGGAGAGAGGAGGTCTGAAAGAATGGGAATAACTGATGCTGCAAGAAAGTTTTAAGAAACGGTGGGAATAACATGTGAGGAGGTACACACTTCCGGATCTGATGATAGAGGCCTCCAGGCCCTCTCAGAACCGGCAGTTGGATTTTGAGTCCAGTAGTTGAGCCCAAAAAGTTGCATTACAACCAAAGGATGAAGGATAGAAGGAGAAACATCATTCCTACCTGTTCAGAGCTGAACACACACTCGTCTGACCAAACCCTGTAAAAACACACACACACACAACACATGTGTCACAGTTATAACCGATCATATACTGCTTATTCCCGGCTGACCGTCACCGTGCAGGACTGACCGTGCGCAGAGAGCGTCCTGCAGGTTGTCACACACACGCTGCGGTAGAAGCTCAGTGAAGGAGCCATAATAACACAGCTCACTGCAAACACAAACAAACACACTTTAGTTACCGAGACTCCTACTGACACCGAGACACTCGCTGCTGGCACAGAGAATCCGTTAAAATGTAAACAAACAGTAACTACTGAGGCACTACCAGCTTACATCTGTGTTTACGTTCTTTGACCTCCTGACGAGTACCGTAATGTACGGTGTAGCCTCACCATTATTACCGTAATATACGGTGTAGCCTCACCATTAGTACCGTAATGTACGGTGTAGCCTTATCATTAGTACCGTAATGTTCGGTGTAGACTTATCATTCGTACTGTAATGTTCGGTGTAGACTTACAATTAGTACCGTAATATACAGTGTAGACTTACCATTAGTACCGTAATGTACGGTGTAGACTTACCATTCGTACCGTAATGTACGGTGTAGCCTCACCATTATTACCGTAATGTGCAGTGTAGACTTACCATTACTACCGTAATGTACGGTGTAGACTTACCATTCGTACCGTAATGTACGGTGTAGCCTCACCATTATTACCGTAATGTGCAGTGTAGACTTACCATTACTACCGTAATGTACAGTGTAGACTTACCACTAGTACCGTAATGTACGGCGTAGCCCCACCATTAGTACCGTAATGTACGGTGTAGCCTTATCATTCGTACTGTAATGTTCGGTGTAGACTTACAATTAGTACCGTAATATACGGTGTAGACTTACCATTAGTACCGTAATGTACGGTGTAGACTTACCATTACTACCGTAATGTACGGTGTAGACTTACCATTAGTACCGTAATGTACGGTGTAGACCAGGTGTAGCCCATAATAGACTGTAAATATTACGGTGTAGCCTTACCATTATTACCATAATGTACAGTGTAGACTTACCATTACTACCGTAATGTACAGTGTAGCCTTACCATTATTACCGTAATGTACAGTGTAGACTTACCATTACTACCGTAATGTACAGTGTAGACTTACCATTAGTACCGTAATGTACGGTGTAGACTTAACTTCAGCTAGACAAAACATCTCGAGATGATGCTACCTTTTCAAGATCACTGGACTCATACTCTGTTCTTGCACATTTACATTTAATATTCCTGTTTAAGACTAGTAATGCTTAGTTAAATCCTGGTTGTATATATATTCACATTCTTATTTTTGATATTTTCAGTGCTTATTTACTTTGTATTTAATATTATATTGTGTTTAGATTGCTAACATGCTGCTGTAACTCCACAATTTCCCAGTTTGGGATCAATAAAGTAATTCTATTCTATTCTATTCTATTCTATTCTATCACGTCGTTTATTGAACTGTTCATCGTTTAGTAATAGAAGAAAATGCAATTGAATCCATTAAATTGAAAAATAAATCAACGTTATAGTCAAATGTAAACGTGTTCTGCTATCTGACTGTAATATTTACAGCCTCTTGAAGCGCCTCCTTTTTTTCCCATCATCCTTTTCGGCCGGGAGAAGAGCAGCACAGTCAGGCTAGGCTATCTGACGTTAGCAGTAAACAGCTCTCACTCAGAATAAAATATTAAACTTTAATTTGTCTCCACGATGAAAGATGTCGGCGGGTTCCTCAAGCAGCAGCAGAGCAGCAGCTCCACGCCGGAGATGGCTGCCGAGTGGCACACGTTGGAGGAGTATTATAACAAAAGGTAAAAGAAGATAAAGAGCTAGCTCTGTTCAGCTAACGCTAGGCTAGCTAACGGAAGCTAGCTCATTCATTGGGAATGAACGCTGAGTCATGCGCGGCGCTAGCGTTAGCCTAGCTGTGGCTAATAATGTTAGCCTCAAGTTTCCTGAAATGTGAAGGAAAACACGCATTATGTTATATTTAATGTTTACATTTACCACATTTAGACAAACATGTGAGGGGCTGATGCTTTAAACGTCATGTTACATTTTATGTTCACTGTTTGTTTCTGAGTTTTATGAAGTTTGGGAGAGTTTTCAGTCACGACATCAGAATGTAAACTGACCACAATAATAATAATAATAATAATAATAACAAAGATAGAAGTCCTACTAGACCTCCTGTGTATCAGGTGAAGTGCTTTAACAGTCTGTGTGTCAGGTGAAGTGTTGTAACAGTCTGTGTATCAGGTGAAGTGTTGTAACAGTCTGTGTATCAGGTGAAGTGTTGTAACAGTCTGTGTATCAGGTGAAGTGTTGTAACAGTCTGTGTGTCTGTGTGTCAGGTGAAGTGCTGTAACAGTCTGTGTATCAGGTGAAGTGTTGTAACAGTCTGTGTGTCTGTGTGTCAGGTGAAGTGCTGTAACAGTCTGTGTATCAGGTGAAGTGTTGTAACAGTCTGTGTGTCAGGTGAAGTGTTGTAACAGTCTGTGTGTCTGTGTGTCAGGTGAAGTGCTGTAACAGTCTGTGTATCAGGTGAAGTGCTGTAACAGTCTGTGTGTCAGGTGAAGTGCTGTAACAGTCTGTGTATCAGGTGAAGTGCTGTAACGGTCTGTGTGTCTGTGTGTCAGGTGAAGTGCTGTAACGGTCTGTGTGTCAGGTGAAGTGTTGTAACAGTCTGTGTGTCTGTGTGTCAGGTGAAGTGTTGTAACAGTCTGTGTGTCAGGTGAAGTGCTGTAACAGTCTGTGTGTCAGGTGAAGTGTTGTAACAGTCTGTGTATCAGGTGAAGTGCTGTAACGGTCTGTGTGTCAGGTGAAGTGTTGTAACGGTCTGTGTGTCAGGTGAAGTGTTGTAACGGTCTGTGTGTCAGGTGAAGTGCTGTAACGGTCTGTGTGTCAGGTGAAGTGCTGTAACGGTCTGTGTGTCAGGTGAAGTGCTGTAACGGTCTGTGTGTCAGGTGAAGTGCTGTAACGGTCTGTGTGTCAGGTGAAGTGCTGTAACGGTCTGTGTGTCAGGTGAAGTGTTGTAACGGTCTGTGTGTCAGGTGAAGTGCTGTAACGGTCTGTGTGTCAGGTGAAGTGCTGTAACGGTCTGTGTGTCAGGTGAAGTGCTGTAACAGTCTGTGTGTCAGGTGAAGTGTTGTAACAGTCTGTGTGTCAGGTGAAGTGCTGTAACAGTCTGTGTGTCAGGTGAAGTGCTGTAACAGTCTGTGTGTCAGGTGAAGTGTTGTAACAGTCTGTGTGTCAGGTGAAGTGCTGTAACAGTCTGTGTATCAGGTGAAGTGATGTAACAGTCTGTGTGTCAGGTGAAGTGCTGTAACAGTCTGTGTGTCAGGTGAAGTGATGTAACAGTCTGTGTGTCAGGTGAAGTGCTGTAACAGTCTGTGTATCAGGTGAAGTGTTGTAACAGTCTGTGTGTCAGGTGAAGTGCTGTAACAGTCTGTGTGTCAGGTGAAGTGATGTAACAGTCTGTGTGTCAGGTGAAGTGCTGTAACAGTCTGTGTGTCAGGTGAAGTGCTGTAATAGTCTGTGTGTCAGGTGAAGTGTTGTAACAGTCTGTGTGTTTTTTAACCTTCAGATTGTGGCATCAGTTGACTCTGAAGCTGACAGACTTCGTTAAGGACCCCTGCTTCAAAACAGGAGATGGACTCATACAGGTAACATCAGTCACACCTGTTCACACCTATTCACATCTGTTCACGCCTGGTTACATCTGTTCACACCTGTTCACACCTGTTCACGTCTGTTCACATCTGTTCACATCTGTTCACACCTTTTCACATCTGTTCACGCCTGGTTACATCTGTTCACACCTGTTCACACCTGTTCACGTCTGTTCACATCTGTTCACGTCTGTTCACACCTGTTCACGTCTGTTCACACCTGGTTACACCTCTTCACACCTGTTCACATCTGTTCACACCTGGTTACGTCTGTTCACACCAAATAGAATATAATGTCTCGCACACACCTGCCGAACACACACACACACTCTTGCCTCGTTCTCTCTCTCTCCTCACTCGCTCCCCCCACCCACACACATGCGCACTGAGCCATCAGAGACAGACATACCCTGCTCGTATAACATTGTTATTTGTCTAAAATTTAAAAGCCATAAATCCTCCAGGGCCTCGGCCTCGTTTGTGTACCATTCAGAAACGTCCCCCATCCTCTTCTGCACCTCACTGTCCTCGTCATCGGCTGTCTCTGCTCTCGCTGCCCCTACTAACGGGTCAAAACGATACGGATCTGGAAGTCTGTGGTCGTACTCTATTTGAGAGTCTACAGGAGACTCTGGAGGAGAGAAGTCTTCCACTTCAAATGACATTTCCTTGGCACACGTGCCATTGCTGCTTATGGAGTCGTCGCTCATGGCTAAATAACCTAGCTAAAGTGTGTGTGGGGCAAACATTGTATCATGTTGCGGCTGATAACGGCGCGAAGGAGTGAGTGGGCGAGTTTATGGGGGTAAATATGGGTTTAGTTACCCTTTAAAGTGCCAAAGCTTCTACTTACTTTTATCTGATGTACAAATATCTTATATTAGTTTTTCACTATAATCTAGCAGGGTGCTGCAGGGGTCAGTGCTGTTGCCATGACACTTAATAACCTTTGTGTGTTTGTGTTTCTCTCCCAGCTGTACGATAATTTCCTCAGCGACTTCGAACACAGGTGAGAGAAACGTGGCTCCCATCTAACACCTGGTTATTCACCGCTTCCTCTTTCTTTACATTTAAAAAAAATATTTCCTTTCTTTCTTTGCTTTGTCATCAGAATCAACCCGTTATCCCTGATGGAAATTATACTGCATGTTGCCCAACAGATGAAAGGTAAGAATGGCGTGACGCTTTCCTCTGCTCGATCTAGATTGTCATGTTGTTGTTTTTTTGTGCCTATAAAAATTGTTTCTGTATGCAGATCCTAAAGATGCCATCACTTTTCTGGAGAAGACCAAAGACAAGGTAAACTTAAAGAAACCATCATCATAGATTTATTGTGCAGACATTTAACTGAAACTGGTCGAATAAGGTGGCCATCTTTGATTGGCCATCATGTCTCTTAAAGGAGATCTATTATCCTCACTGTCAGCATTGAGGATGTCAGTCTGGGACCTGTTGAGTAGCGTTAAGAG